TTCCTGCTCAGCCATGAAGCTCATTGGGCAACTGTAGGCCAGTCACTGACTCTCGGCCCAACCTGTCTCACTGGGTTGTTGTTGTGTGGCTAAGACTGAGAGGAGGTGGAGAATTATGTAAGCCATCTTGAGTTGCTTGAAAGGGAACAGGCAGGATATAAATGTGATGAATAAATACTTAAATAATCATAGTCCTGAGCGAGCCCAGCACTTTCCTTTTTGTTCCAGAAATTAGCCTATTGGCCCATCATCCCTGCTTCTGGATGACAAGGACATAGCCATGGAATGTTCCAGAAGGAAGCTTGCCTGACTTTCCCCATCCTTCAGCTGCTAAATGAGTGAGTGCAGAAGCCTGTGGAAATCTAAGAGGTCATTACTGGGGACTGAGAAGAACAGAGCTGGGCTGGAGCTCAGACCTCTGCAGAATGAAAGCCCCCCGCCCCGAAAGTTATTAGAGTGTTGTGGTATTAATGCTGTGAATACTTATCTATACTCTGCACAGAAACACTCACTCATATATCACAAAATGCCATCAGTCTCCAGTACTTGTTCCAAGAGAATTGAATTGGAGGATAAACACCTTCTGCTCAGAGAAGTGGGATGCACATAACAATATTTATACTAACAGAACAGTGATGTAGAAGAGACATAACCACTTTGAGGAAAGGCATATACAGAGACTAAGAGGCTGATTTTAAGCCAAGGAGATCCAAGCATAGAGTAGAGCACCCTTCTTTGTTCTGGAGCTGAGCGCTGGCTTTGAATAATATTTCTGGACTTAGCCCTGTTCAAGTAAAGTTATACTGCTCTTGGATTCAGCAAGCTGTCCTCCCTAGTGGACAAAACTTGTCCACTGAGAAGGAGATGGGAAGGGGAGGTGAAGGAATCACAGGGTGCCATTGTGCAATCATGCACTTGTATGCCTTTGAAAGTGGGCCAATGGTGCCATCAGGGCAGGACTTCGGGTCGTAGGAGCCCCCCCACCCATCAAAGTAAGCTAAGCAGGTAGCTACATGAATGAAGGCCTTCTCCGCAGGGGCACCCTACTCATGGAACAAACTCCACAACAAGATTAACCTATGGCATCTCCATAGGCATCATTTGGACACCAGGCAAAGAGATTTCTTTTCTTCCAGGCATTTTAGAGACTTGCTTCTAGTTTACAATGGCTGTTTTATTGATTCCTATACCAATTATTTCAAGTATATGGAGATTTCACTGTAGACCAAGGCCAAGACCATTCGCACTCTTGTATTCTCAGTCATCCCATGTGGATGTACAAGTTGGACAGTGAAAAAAGCTGACAGAAAAAGAATTGATGAATTCCAGACATGATGCTGGGGAGAGCTTTGCAAGTACCCAGGACTGAAAGAAAGACAAACAAGCAGATCCAAGATCAAATCAAGCCAAAGCTTTCCCTGAGGCTTTCCATGACAAAACTGAGGTTGTCATACTTTGGGCTCAGCACGAGAAGGCAAAACTCCCTGAGGAACACAATCATGCTAAGGAAAGTTGAAGGCAGAAGAGATGACCAAATATGAGATGGATTGACTCCAGCAGGAAAGCCACAGCTTGGAATTTACAAGAGCTGAGCAGGGATGTCAAGGATAGCACATTTTGGGGGCTTTCAATCATGGGGTCACCATAAGTTGGAGATGACTTGACAGCACTTAACAACAACCCTAACTGTTTATAATCCACCCAGAGAACATTCGTTATGGGGTGGATCAGAAATTCAATACATGCAGAAATGCAGTGGGGATCAGAGCAAAGTGAACATGAGCATCCCCAAATGCATCAGGACTGGGGAAACACATTTTGAAAATACAAATTACCATTAAAACAGAAGGGTACCCATAAGACTGTTCAGTCCAGAGTATAAAATTACCTAACCTAATTATCAAGTTTCTGAACTTACAAAAAAAGAGGATGCTGCCGAGTTTGAGTGCAATACACCCTTCAGAATATCTGCTGCCCTGTCTCAGACCCTCAGCATGGTTTGGAAGGCGGGTATATTGTATAGCAGGTATATAATATCCCTGTAAAAGCCAGGCTTTCCCCAGCCTGGTACCCTCCAGGCTGCAGTGCTCAGTAGCCATAAGCCAGCATCTGGAGAGTATCAGGCTGGGGAAGACTCAAACATTCCCGAAACCTCTTTGAATCATCAGAAGGAGCACATACTGAATAAAGTAAATCCACTGGGAAAATTTAAAAAATAGAGCAAAGAAGTGCAAAAAGAATTTTTTTAAAAGGAAATAGCAGCTTCTTCTGTGCAAAGAGAAACAGTTGCAAAAATGGCTCCCAGCTCCAATTTCATAGATTTTTAAGAGAACCAAAGCAAACAAACAGAAGGAAACATACCAGCCTCCCAGAAGGAACTGAGCCTCTCAGAAACCAGCCGTAGTTTAAACTCTGCAAGCCATGATTTCAAAGTGACAAGAGGCAGTTGCTCTCATGAGGCTGGCCTCAACCCCAGGCAGAGACAAGGAACTGGGATTTAATGACGTGATAGCCTGCACCTGCTGCCCATTCAAAGGGAAAGGGACTGATTGCTGATGTTCTGTAACTGGAGGAGGCAGAAACGTTCCGTTTTGATTGATCAGCTCTCTGGGTAAAAAGCAAGATAATAGAAGATGATCTGGAGATTAAAATTGCCCAAAATAACAAATGAAAACAAAAATCACTGCAAAGGGTGTGATAGTTGGCTGAAAGCAGTACCACAAAACCAAGAGTTTCTGGTGTGTTTCACTGCCACCTACTGGTTAGAGCTGACATGCCTGAACAACTTATCAATATCCAGTTGCATCTTTGCCTCCAAGATCTTGTGCTATCTTAGCCTGCTTCTGGTTGGAGGTTTCGTTTCCTTGCCCATAAACCATGCAGGAATGATCACTGTCTTTATGCTCATCTTGCTGATCCAAACAACAGGTTAGAAATAGTTGCACAGTCCAGCGGCCAAGGCTGTCATGCAAAACCCACACCAGCCCCTGCATCTTGCTTGCTCTTCCGATTTCTCATTTGTTGCACTAGATGTGGGGCAGCGCTCCCATCTGTATATGCCCCTAGTGCATTTAGGGGGCTGTGTATCCTGCTATCCAAAGGGCATTGCTCCGTTGGAAGGCATCCTTTATTTAAAGGGCTGGTCCATATCCCAGCTTGCACTAAGGTAATACACAGTGTTATCGATGGATTGAAAAACTTGTGCAATTAAAACTGCAGATATGAGAGTTTGTACCAGAAATTTTTATTTCAATCTTATGCGATTTTTTTCAGAATAATAATGAACACTAATCGAAGAAATATTTTTCTTTGTCCTCTCTACAAATCCTTTGTTCTGTACTTCATTTATGAGCTTTACTGAAGGAAAAATGCTAAACAATTGACAGCATGTAACAAGGTTTGGCTGGTGAACGGGATGAATCCACAGATAAACTAAAGACCCTCTATTTTTTTCAGAAGAATTTTGAAAAAACCCCCAAAGACTGGCTGGTAAACAGAAATACTGATTTAGGATTTCTCCCTGTCCCATAACCAGGATCAACTGATGAAACTGATAAATAGGAGATTCAGGAAAATGAAAAGTACTTTACATTACACATAACTGAGCTATGGAATTCACTTCCAGATGTACTGACAACCAGTAATTGGGCAGCCAGCTTTAAAAGGGGTCTGAACACTTTCGTGGAGAAGCCTATCACTAGTGACTCGTCCTGATGGCTACATGCTCCCTCTGATATCAGTGGTTGTACGCCTATGTGCACCAGTTGCTCTGGCACATTGGCGGAAAGGTGCTTTTGCCTGTGGGTTTCCTGTGGACAGCTAGTTGGCCACGGAGAACAACAAGTTGGACAAGAGGGACTCTTGGTCTGATCCACCATCACTCTTTTTTATATTACTATGGTAGCTAAGCCCATTCTTCAAGAGGCATCAAAACCCAGTGTGCATCACCCACATGGACACTGCATATACAGCAAATATACTAGAAAATTCCTTATTTCACCAATGCAGTGGATGACAGAATATATAATATGCAATGTTTTCTCACTGGTGGTGGTGTTGTTGTTTAGTTGCAAAGTCGTGCCTGACCTATCGCGACCCCATGGACAACATTCTTCCAGGTTCTCCTGTCCTCCATCATCCCTCGGAGTCCACCCAAGTCCACACCCACTGCCCCAGTGACTCCATCTGGCCACCTCATCTTCTACCATTCCCCCCTCCTTCTGCCGTAAATTTTCTCACTGGTAGCAGTCCACAATTGTTATAAGCCAGCCATCCCCAACCTGGTGGTCTTTGAAGGCATTTAGACTGCAACTCCCAGAATTGCTATCCAACAAGGCCATTGACTGGGAATTCTGGGTGCTGTAGTCCAAATGGGTTTGAAAGGCACAAGGTTGTGGAAGGCTTCTATAAGCTATTAAATATCCATGCAATAAAATATATTTATGCTGGCCAGACCCAAAAACCACTCAAGAAATGCATGAGCAAGTATTTCAGCAACATATAGAAGAAAAGATCTGGAGCCCCTTTGGGCCTTTCCCATTCCTTCAAAGAATCAAATATCTTGGTGACAGAAATATTATATAACCCAGACACCATAGGTCTCAGAAGACAGATATTCTGGATTCTGCAATCAGAAAGCCCTGTCTGGATAAAGATCTAGAATACTTACCATTGCTAAAGCTGTAGGGAAGAGCCCTGAACATCTACTCATGAGCAGAAGAGACAAAACAACAAAACAAACTCTCCACTGTAATGAAATGGCATTGCATTCATTTGGAGCCACCTTCCGCTTATAAAACCAGTGAGTCTTCCGTTTTCTGAGAAGTTTGAAATGAGGAGGCATTAGCATGTTTTTGCAAGATAAATGTGAAAAAAGACAAGTTGGTGAGTAGGAGGATGGAACCCATGGGTGAAAATAGTTTTGCAGAGGAATGTGATAACAAGGCTTCAAAAACTTTATGTTAATAGAAGGGTTTGCCAAGTCAGTAAATTGTATGGGCTACTAATGGCAGTGCTTTTATTTTAACATGAGTAGGTTCTTTTCACATATTACGGGTGCAAAAATAATGTACGTTTCATGTTTCATATACAATATTTCTAATGATTTGGATTTATCACTGAAAGGAACTTTGCATGTCCATACTAAAATTAAGTGTTGCAACTTTGAGATATGCTTTGTAAAAGGATAATAATGTTCTATAGCACATTTAATTTGCTTTTGAGAATGTTAATAATGTTTTACAGTAAATTTTTATTTGAAGCCCTCAAGGAAGGAAATAACTTTCTGAAATGAGTCAGGTGTATCTAAGCTTTTCATGGCACTTGAAAATATTTTCTCTTGTTTTTGACCCTGTAGCAAACAGGATGCTAAACTAGGTAAGCATTTCTCCAATCCAACATGGCTCTTGGGTCAACAGTGCAACCCTCTGTACAGTTACATAGAAGTAACCCCAGAAAGATCTGCACAGTTAACCTAAGGGCACAATGGCTGGAAAATGCTGGGTGTTGTAGGGCTTTTGTATCTAAAGAGGCCTAGGATTACACACTAAGTTGATTTTCCATCCAAATGTCCCATCTGCAAGCTTCCCAGTTTGCCTCAATAGGAACAGATTGTTGTCCTCTGGTCTGATTAACAGGATGTGTGCATGTGTGTGTTTTCTATGTTGCAAGTAAAGCTTTTGGTATTACTCTTATTCAACTCAACCAACACTTACAGCTCAAACACAGATACTGCCCGATTTTTGGAAAAAATAATTTGCAATTGAAAATTACACAAATGTCATAATAATATCTCTACACAAAGTATAAAAGTTGCATAACTTCATAAAAGGAACTGGTGACAGAGTACCCAGATGCCCATTTAAAAAGTTTACATCACAACCTGAAATAAATATACTATATTAAAACTTCTATCAACCACAGGAAGCTGATAAAATGTTCCCAGAACACTCCACTTCCAGTGAAACTTCTGCAGCAACCAGTATTGACTATCTTGGCAAGATTTGTTTTCTGATGAAGGCAGCTAGAAGTCAGCATCTAAAGTAAATACATGCTCATTTGTTTCAGCCATCACTGCAAAACGCTGATACTCTGCAACCTTCTTCTCAAAGAAATTGGTCTTTCCTTCCAAAGAAATATTTTCCATGAAGTCAAAGGGATTTTCTCTTTGAAAGACCTGAGAAAACCAAACTTATTATGAAATCATAGCTACTGAACCAGACATGCAATATGCTACTTGTCTCTAACAACTGCTTGAAGACTTGCCCATTTGAGAAAAATAAAAGATGGTGTTCCTTACCCTATTTGTAGATAAGAGTCTAAATAATTCTCTGTCCAGCCCAGTCTGAGCACAAGTAGGGATTGCAAAACTTTTCTATATTTTCTGTAGTTATTTATCGGTAGGTATAGACTAATCTGTTTCACTTTCTATATAGTAGTCACAGTTTTCAAGCATATATTCCTGCCTCAGGTTCTACATTTTTTAAGTCCACACAAAAATACATGAGAATATTTCAACATTTTCCTCCTAATACACATATATTATTTATTTATTTATTTGGAATTTTTGTATGCCGTCCCATTTGCATATGCCTCGGGACGGCTTCCAACATCATAAATACACATATACATACATATAAAATCTGGATACATCCTGGCTCAATATTAAAGCCAATAAATAAAATCAACAATTATTAAAATATCGTTTAAATAAAAAGGTCTTGGCCTGGCGCCGAAAAACAAACAACAATGGCGCCAGGCGGACCTCTCTGGGGAGCGCATTCCATAAGTTGGGGCACTACAGCAGAGAAAGCCCTCCTGAGGGTATTCACCCTCCTAATATCTTTCACGGAGGGTTCCCGGAGAAGAGCCTCTGCCGCCGATCTGAAGGGGCAGGAGGGCAAATACGGACGCAGGTGTTCCTTTAGATATCCAGGTCCCAAGCTGTTAAGGGCTTTATAGGTGATAACCAGCACCTTGAATTGGGCTCGGACTTTGATGGGGAGCCAGTGAAGCTGGTAGAGGACTGGGGTTATATGAGAACAATGCCCAGTCCCCGTCAGCAACCTGGCAGCTCTGTTTTGCACCATCTGAAGTATCCAGACCATCTTCAAGGGCAGCCCCATGTAGAGTGCATTACAGAAGTCCAATCGGGAAGTAACCAATACATATGTCACTGTCGCCAGGCAATTGTTGCCTGTCACCAGGCAAATTGTTTGTAAATTGTTGAATTTACAAACAATTTCTACTGAAACAGACTTTTCCATATGCACTTCTTCTTAATGTATTTGTTTTATATACAATTTTTGCTTGAAAAATTGAAATGCAAAATTCAAAGTGCAAAAATCAAAGGATAAGTGTGTTCCAGTTCCAGTATCAGTTCAAGATGCATGACTTAGACTGGTTCATATTAAAATGCAAACCAAGTATTTCTCCCCTGTTGCTGCTTCCGGTTCAACATCATTCCTCCCACACATCTATTACGCCTCCCACTTTACCCATGACTGCTCAAGTATTTTATGAAAGCTAAGTTTAATATCTGAAAAACCACATTCCAGAGTCATCCAGACATTATGTCACAGCATGCATTAGCATTATGGAAACAAGCCCTAATCTGGCACACCTTTTCTTTCTTGCCTTTATTTTACTGTTTGTTCCCAAACTATTTTATTCCTGTTTCGTCTGAACCAGGAAATTAGGACTGCACCAAACCCTGGTTTACCCACCGTTAGAATTAACAGTGGCGTTCGATCAATGGCAGGTAATTCTGGTTTGCACAGACCAGTCTGCTTGGCTTGCATGATGTAGTAAAGGGTGGTTTGTTTTAAAACATTGGAGGTAGACACAGGAACTGCAGTGCAAGAAAGAGAAGAGGGACAGATGGGCTCAAGGTTCCTCAGAGCTAGTTCATGTAACACCAACATCTGATTGGCTCCTCTTGTTCTACAATTGTTCAGACTTAATTCATGCACAGTTATCCAGCTTTGCAGGTCTGCAGGGCAGAATGTGGATGAGTCAAAGTCGTAAACAAAGGCTCTCTAGCTGGTCCTCCATGGCTGCACCATTCCTCAAGAGGTTTGCTTGGCCTTTTCTCAGCCTGTCTTCTCTCATCTAGCTAAGACGTTTTGATTCAGACTGTTTAGCTTGCCTGGTTTGCATTTAACGACTAACAAAGATACTTTATTTTATTGCTGTTATTTTACTATTGTTTTTGACTGCTTTAAGAAAGTTTTTAAATTGTATAAACCCCTCTGAACACTGTTTTCTCCTGCGAAGAGGAGGTACAAAAAATTCAGAATTAATAGCAGACTCAGGGTGTGCAGTAATTTCCCAAGTACCTTTGCAGACCCCCACCCAAAATATGACCATTTTAAAGTATAAACATACATAGTCATGAACTATACAATTCTTTTTCAAGTGACAATGGTGCTCAGGCACAGTCTGGAAACAGACGACGGAGGCAAAACCCATGACATAAATTAATAATAAATTCATATACCTTCCTGAACTAGCTTACCTTAGAAAAACCCAGTTCCAGAAGTAACCTATCTGCCACAAACTCAATATATTGTTTCATCAAGGTGCAATTCATACCAATCAAGCCAACTGGTAAGGCCTCTGTCAAAAACTCCTGCAATGTTAGGAAGAAAGAGACATTTTAGGAGAAACACAATACTATCTTCTTAGGAGTAACCTCCCAGGCTATTTAATATATTTACAGAGACAACTTTAAATAGCACCATTTAGAATTTGTTGCCACATGCATAAGCTAGTCACATGGAGTGACTCACTACAAAGACCTAGAAAAGTAAGCAAATGCAGCCTTCCAAAACTTGGTGTCCTACAGATGTTTCAGAATTTCATGCCCATCTGACTCTGCCAACATGGCCAGTGGTCAGGAATGCTGAGATTCATAGTCCTAATCAACTGCAAGGTACCAAGCTGGTGAAGGCTGAGTTAGTGCCTTGAACTACGAGCTAGGAGACCTCAGTTTAAATTCTACTTCATCCAAAGCTTGAGCCAATCATTCGATCTTGGTCTAACTTACCCAATACGATTATGAGGAGGATAAAAGGAAAGGGGGCATGTTTGTCACTTTGAATTTAGTGTATGACTGGTGTAATACAGCAAATAAATAACTAACTAAAGTTACTAAGGCCACCATAGAATGTCCACCACCGTCCATTCTTTATGAAGTGCCTAACGTAAGATAGACCAGATGGGCAGAAAGTAGACTGCCAGAATGTCGATGCCAATTTCCTGGGCTGGTGGCCATGCTAACAGTGAATGTCGAGAACGCAACTCAACCCTGATCAGCAGCAGCTCTCCATGTGTGCGGGAAGGAGTCTTCCTAGTCCTGACTGAGGTTGGCAGGGGCAGAGTCTGGGCACAGTGGAAAAACCAACACCAGGCCAAACCAAAGCAAAAGAGAAAAAGAGGAGGGTGGAAGAAAAGAAAGAAATTAGATCCCTAAAGGGAATACAGGTAGTGGTGGGGTCAGAAAGCACTGGTGTGGGCCACCAATCATTTTGAGAGACATCAGACAATTACAGGATTTAATAAGACCTGCCAATCTTCTTTTAGACCCCTTCCAAAATAGAACACTCATGCCTAGTTACTGTAGACAGAACAATTTATTTAAAATATTTGAGACTTAAGAGAAACCTCTAATCACTTGGTATTAAACAGTAAAAGACAACTAAAGAAAGGCAAACAGAATAATAACAGATATGCAGAAAATTGCATCTTTTATATATTTTCAAGAGGAACAAAGTCCCAAACACATCAACAGACCTTAGTTATTTGGTTTACTTTTACTCACAATGTACATTACATAAATGTTTCTATATTATATCCAGTAAAGTGTTTCCAAACAAGTGACTGGATTATTCCAGGCAGTAGCAGCTGCAACAAGCAAGTCTTCATTTTTACACTGATAAAACATTTCACATTCAAATGACATAAATGGAAGCATGTTTTAAAAGTAACCACTATCTTTCATAACTAGCTTCCATGCAACCTAGTGGACACAAAGTCTGATTATTTTGCTCAAATTTAGAGGTGACCAATAATTGTAACCTGCCTGTAACCCACCCAGGGAGCCTTGGGGCTAATGGGGCAAGCTAAAACTCTAATAAGTAAATAAATAAATTCAGTACAGCCCTCACTACCTCCAGCACAGCAGACCCACCAAATGAGGTGGAGCTTCTTAATGTCTGTCATGAAGCAATGCTAACAACAAATTATGACTGATGTTAAACTCAAGTAGATCAGCTATTTTACTTTCGGAGTTGATTACAAAGAAGTCCCATTTACTCACCTGCTCAATTTCAACTGCATTCATAATAATTTCTTTGACTCTGTCTTCTGATGGTTTATTCACTAAATACTGAAACATCAGGCAAGCAAAATCACAATGGAGTCCCTGAAACATGTGAGCAGAATAGGAACTTAAAGACCCTCAAAGCAAGCAACTAAAATATCTGCATGAGAACTACTGCTCCCCCCCTTATTTATCCTGAGATCTGCTCCTGGTTTGGAAGCTGCATTAGTTAAGAATGCAGCAGCTAAAATATTCATCTAGCTATAGACATATACTGAAGGATCTGTCCTGGCAGCCTATTGGCTACCAAGTCCTGTTCAAGGAATTGTTGTTGGCATTCAATGCCCTAAACAACTCAGAACCTATATATGTAGCTGGCTGCCTTCCCAATATACCCAACTGACCTCTGAAATCTTCCATGGGGGTATTGTTGATTGTCCCAAAACCAACAGTGTGTCCTCAAGTAACAGCACAGAAGGAGGCCTTCTTGGTAGTGGCACCCCCGCTCAAGAAGGCTCCTCCCCATTTGGTTTGAGAGATTGAAACTGTGGACAACTTCAAATGCCACTTGAAAACGTATTTGTTCACTCAGGTTTTCCCTAACATGTAATTATTATACTCTTTGCTATGATTTGTGCAATGCTTTTAATGTATTTATCGGCTTTTATACTTACTCATTTTAGGTAAACTGCTTAAAAATCTTATGACCGCAAGTGGTATATAAAGTAGTTTAAATAAATGATTATATATTTTTATCCTGTCTTCTTTCCTACAAGGAGCCCAAGGCAGCTTACATGAGCTTTCTCCTCCTTTGCTCCATTATATTCTCAGAAAAACGCTGTGAGGCAGGTTAGTCTAAAAGGCAGTGAGTGGCTGAAAGTCAACCAGCGACTTGGTCCATGGCCAAGTGGGGACTAAAACCCAGCTCTCCTCAGTTCCAGTCCAAGCATCTAACCTCTATACCACAGTAGTTTTTTAATAAACAAAAAAATGAATGTCTCTCCCTTGCATTTTTAAATGTCCAAGTGGCTCACAGCAAAACACACTGAAAATAATTTTCAAAAACATTCAAAACACCCTTAATCGATCTACGAGATATCAGTAAGACAGCAGTGCAAGACCATGAAGTTGGCCCATAAGGGAGTGGAGTACCAAGGGAGCTGGCTACTTGCCCCCATCTCCTGATGGCAGTGAAAAAGCTGGCAAGTCCCCCACCCCGGGGCTGCCCTAGCTGTTCTGCTCAGCTTTGGCGCATACAACACTTCCACACTGGGCAGAAGAGGAGAACCAGCTGGTGAAGCCATGCTGGACAGCAAGCAGTTGTGCAGAGGGGCCCTCTGTACCCACTACCTTGAGGCAGGCAGGGGCAAGCTCAGCTACAAGGGGAAAAATAACATTCTCCCACAGGTGCCCCCCTCTTCACTTCCCCCACACTGCTTTTGGGACCCCAGTGGATCACTCTGGGCTCTGTCAAGGCCCAGAGAAAGCATGGGAGGATTCAGGCAGTCACACTATTCTCTTGCACTAAACTAGAGGGTCTTACATGTTTACCATGCAAGCCTTAATTTTGCTATTCTGGCATGGAGCTTCTTATGTGTGATGTTTTAAGGCTTGCATTGTCTTGGGGCTGAAATCTGTGCAGTGCAGACAAACTTCTACTTCTATGGATGGATATTTTTGCTCTGGGCCACTGACTGCTAATGAGACATTAAATTTCAGTGGATGTGAAAAGTCCCTAGAAGCATTAGCCGGTGAGCATACACTGACCAGTGGGTATACACGGATGTTATGCAGGTAAGGCAGCCTTCAGTAACTGTACTAGACAGACTTTCCCCTGCTGCTAGGCTGGTACCTGCCTGAGGTCAGGCTTACTTCCCAGCCATTTCATGTTTTAAAACAACAATGTGTGCTGGCAAAACACACAATTCCTATTGCGTGTCCTATTGCGTTTGTAGGCTGCCTATTAAACAACAGCCTGCTTCTTTGTAGGAATGGGGGAGGGGGGTCTTCAAGCATCTTATCTCCTTTATTTAAATCCCCCCCACACCTTACTTCATCTCTGCTAATAAGTTCATTGGAGAAAGTGAGGCCTGGCATCAGTCCCCTTTTCTTGAGCCAAAATATAGCCGCAAAAGCCCCAGAGAAGAAGATCCCCTCGACAGCAGCGAAAGCAACCACTCTTTCCCCTGTTTCCAAGAAAAGAAAAAACGACAAACATAATTCATACAATTCACAATGTCTCCTCATTTCTTTTTCTTTAGTCAATTTCTACGGAATGTGAAATTTCTACACAATGTAGAGATTTTGACCAATTCTACCTATCTACAGAATGCAGAAAGAGCCAGAGGGCACAATTCACGTGGGATACCTGGAACTCTCCAAACTCAGAGATCTGAGGACATCTGATGCAGACCAGTCCCAGGGCTCAAGCAATCTCTGCCTTCAAACTCCTCCCACCCTGCAAAGCAGTTGCATGCCTGATTTGGGGAAAGGAAGCTGAGGCACCATTGGCAGGGGAGGAACAGCTTTGGAGCGGGGAAGGAGGCTGAAGTCTCCTGCTCGCCTTCTGGAACTCCCTGCAACATCGAAGAAGCAGCTGGGGCATTCTTTCCAAGCATACACCTGCAGAACCGGGTGACATTTCTGCAGCCAGGGTGACATTTCAGACAGAAAGATACTATAAGTACTTAGGTGCCAGAGCCTTCCATGTGCCTGATCAAGGTGGGAAGGTAAGGAGAACAAACAGGAAACTTCACGTGCAAACAAGTGCACAGTTTCCCCTCCAGCCTTTCTCTTCCTAAAAAGAGAACAAGGTCAAGGGAACAAGGTCTGCCCCCGGAGCCGGATGGATCCTGATGGATTCCTGAAAGCTCTGGGGGATTTTCCGGTTGACAAGGCTGGTGATCCTGTCGATGCCCTGGTTGAACTGTGGAATGAGGAGATGACCAGGGCTATTGACACGATCGCTCCCAAGCGTCCTCTCCCACCGGGCAGAGCCCGCTCTTCCCCTTGGTATACACCTGAATTGCGGGCGATGAAGCAGGTTGGGAGACGTCTAGAGCGTAGGTGGAGGAGATCACGGGGTAATTCTGACCGAACACACTTAAGAGCCCATTATCAGGCCTATGCTGTGGTGGTGAGGATGGCGAAGAAGAAATTCTTCTCTGTTTCCATTGCCTCCTCACAATGCCATCAGGTGGAGCTTTTTCGGGTGATGCAGGGGCTGATACATCCGGGCCCGAAGAAAGATCTTGTGCCACCCTCAAAGGCTCGCTGTGATGACTTTGCCAAGCATTTCAGGGAGAAAATAGCTCAGATTCGCCATGAGCTTGACTCTGCTATTGAATCAGATTCTACTGGGGAGACGCCATTGAGTCCACAATTAATGGATGAATTTCAGTTGTTGCAGCCTGATGATGTGGACAAGGTGCTTGGACAAGTACGTCCTACCACTTGCTTACTAGACCCATGCCCATCTTGGCTACTTAAGAAAACCAAGGACGGGATTGGGACATGGATCCTGGAGGTGGTCAACGCCTCTTTAAGAGATGGCCAGGTACCTGCCCCTTTAAAGGAGGCAGTAGTCCGGACAGTCCTAAAGAAGGCATCCCTGCATCCAGAGGTGGCCACCAATTATAGACCGGTGGCCAACATCCCGTTCCTGGGCATGGTGCTAGAGTGGGTGGTGGCGGGACAGCTCCAAGCACTCTTGGATGAAACTGATTATCTAGACCCATTTCAGTCCAGCTTCAGACCCGGGTATGGCACTGAATCTGCCTTGGTCGCCCTGTACAATGACCTGTGCAGGGAGAGAGACAGGGGGAGTGCGTCCCTGTTACTTCTCCTGGGCCTCTCAATGGCTTTCGATACCATCGACCATGGTATCCTTCTGAATAGGCTAGCGGGATTGGGAGTTGGAGGCACCGTGTGGCCGCTCCAAATCTATGGCCGATTTCAGAAGGTGGTGCTGGGGGACTATGGCTCTGTGCCATGACAATTATGCCATGGAGTTCCTCAGGGGTCCATTTTGTCCCCTTTGCTATTTAACATCTACATGAAACCGCTGGGAGAGGTCATCAGGAGGTGTGGGCTGCAGAATCATCAGTACACAGATGATACCCAGCTCTACCTCTTGTTTTCCACCAATCCAGGTGAGGCAGTGGCTGTGCTGAACCAGTGCCTGGCCGAGGTAATGGGCTGAATGAGGGCCAATAAACTGAAGCTCAATCCAGACAAGACGGAGGTCCTGTTGGTGGGTGGCTTGGGCCTCGGGATGGGGGACTTGGGCCTTGTCCTAAATGGGGTTGCACTCCCTCTGAGGGACAGGGTTCGCAGCTTGGGAGTGCTCCTCGACCTGGAGCTGTCTCTAGAAGCTCAGGTGACGGCGGTGGCAAGGAGCACCTTCCTTCAGCTTCGGCTGATACATCAGCTGCATCCCTTCCTGGAGAACAACTGCCTGGCGACAGTGACACACGTGCTGGTAACTTCCCGATTAGATTTCTGTAACGCGCTCTACGTAGGGCTACCCTTGAAGACGGTCCAGATACTTCAATTGGTGCAGAATAGAGCTGCCAGGTTGCTGACGGGGACTGGGCATTGTTCTCATGTAACCCCAGTTCTCCATCAGCTCCACTGGCTCCTGATTGAAGTCCAGGCCCAATTCAAGGTGTTGGTTATGACCTATAAAGCCCTCAACAGCTTGGGACCTGGATATCTAAAGGAACGCTTGCGCCCATATATGCCCTCCCGCCCCTTGAGATCAGCAACGGATGCCCTTCTCCAGGAACCCTCCGTGAATGATATTAGGAGGGTGAGTACCCAGAGGAGGGCTTTTTTCTCTGCGGTGGCGCCCCATCTATGGAATGCGCTCCCCAGAGAGGTCCACCTGGTGCCGTCGTTGTTTTTTGGCGCCAGGCCAAGACCATTTTATTTAAAACTTAATTGTTAAATTATTGAATTAATTAGGATTTTAAAATTTTTAGCCGAGAATGCACCAGGGGTTTTTAAACGATGGTTGTTTTCTTTTTAATTGTTATATTACTATTATTTATGTATGTATTTATGTATTCTTTGTGAGCCGCCCCGAGGCTTTGTTGCAATGGGGGTGGCATAGAAATGTTTTAAATAATAGTAATAATAAATAATAATAACATGGGAAGAATAGTGGCCTAGTTTGACTGGTACACTCTGACTGCCTGTCTTCTCCTGTCCAGCGCAGACATTGTTCCTTTTCATGCAGTATGTGAAGTGAAAGGAGGCAGGAGGTTGTTACCCATTTGCTTCATTATCTGTGAGCTCCTAGTAAGCAACGTAGCCATCCTCTAATTACAGAACCAAAATCCCTCTCATGTACATTAACATTTTAAATGTTAATACCACTGAATTTTATCTGGCCAGGGCGGCTTATTTTATATTGTGTGTTTTAAATTATAATGATTATCTATATGTATATTTTAACTTATTGGTTTTATTTATTGTTGTAAGCCGCCCCGAGGCTTCGGCGAATGGGGCGGCATAAAAATGTTTTAATAGATAAAAATAAATAAATAAAAATGTAAATGTTCAAGGCCCAATTAATCCATGGTCTATAGGAAAATGCTCTTTAAATCAAGGACACTGGGAGCCAGCAAGGTGCAGTTCTCACACGTCACAGCTGCAGGTTCAAGGCCCCAGTAGGCCGTGAAGCTCACTGAGTGACCTGGGGGGGCCACTCACAGACCCTCTGCCTAACCAACCTCACCGAGCTGCTGTGAGGATAAAATGCACAGGTGGAAGAGCATCACGCACAGTGCCTCCAACTCCTTACCAAAATGGCAGGATATAAATCTAACACATAACTATAAACACAACTGATTCATTCACACACAGCAGTTCCTCTGATTCATCTAAGGCACACACACTGAAAATACATAATGCAGAAGCCACCTACCAAAAGAGGCTTCTTTGTCGGTTATCCACTTCAGTGCCCAGTCTGCTTTCTTCTTGACGTACGGCATTGTTTCAATAGCATTAAATAGGAAGTCCCTGGAACAGCAAATACAATCAACAGCTGCATTCCAAAAATCTTGATTCTGATTTTATTTAAAAATCATGTTTCTAGTCCAGATAGCTGGCAAAGATGAACCTTGAAAATATATGGCAGAACTGCAGAATGGCTGGAAGTGAGTAAATTTGTGGAGAGCAGCAGGAAGGGTTTCAGTGCCCCAAATGGTTAATTGATTCCCCCCTCCCCATGATTAGCTAAAGCACAATTATGCAAAATAAACTAATACATACTAATTTTCTTGATTTCCATAAGTCCAGAGGGGGCATAGACTCGGCACGCAAGCATATCGATTTTCCTCCCTTCCTTGTCCCGAGGAGCGGTATGTCCCCTGGACTCCCTGCTCTGGGAGGATTCAACCACAAGAGAGTTCGGTTTCGGGTGACAGAGCAGGAAGGGAATGTCATCGTCACGAACTCTATACATGGCCTCATATCTGCGGGAGATAGCTTGTGGTTGGGCTGGTTGGTCCCAGGGCTGGACCATAGCCTGGTGGAGTGTAGTTATAAGCGGCAGAGCTATGGATGCGGACTGCTCTCCCCGAACGACATCATAAAACCGATCTGTGGAGGGGCCTGGCTGTTGATGAGCTTCGATTTCAAGCAAACGAACTAAGCAGGACATGAGCTCTGTGAAAGAGACATGCGGTTCGTCGGGTGAAGCAGACCCTTGGTATGCGGCAGCCACATCAGGGGATGTGGAGTCGACCTCCGAATCCTCGGAGTCTTCCACCGTAACGCGGCCGGTTTTCGCTTGAGAAGAAGGTTTCAGGGGAGGTTGGGCGCCTTGTCTCTGTATGCCTGGAGGTGGATGGTACGTCCCTCGGGACCGATGGTGATCTATGATCCCGAGGAAAATAGGGATATGGTTGGTAACCACCCCAGCCGGGGGGAGCACCATATCCCGGGATCAACCAACTCTCATCTCGATGTTCGGATGAAAGGCTGCGACATCTGGGAGATAATGGTGAGGCCACATGAGGTTCAGTTGGTGGCATAGGTGTTAGCGAGCAGTCCCTCGGCAGGGAGTCTCTGATCTCACCATCAGAGATGGACTCCCGAAGCGGCTCCTCCTGTTGCTGGGGATGCACGCTCTCAGGCTGAGTGGTTGGCCTGGGGGATCCCAGTGGAATCACCTGCATAACGAGTTGCAGGGCCGGTCCCAAGGGGGCCGGTACCATGGCGGCCATCGGTACCGAAAAGCCCGATGAACCTGAGCCCCGGTGTTTTGGGCGATCAGGTTTCTTGCTCTTGCGAGCGGGCTTATCCACCTTCTCCTTCCTCAACTTCTTATGGGTGGAAGGTTTATCCAGACCGGTATGCTTGTGCTTCTCCCATTTCTTAGCCAGGGGAGAAGGCAGTGACTCCATAGAAGCGGCGCCTTCGTCCGAAGGACGCTGCGGAGGATCGGCAGAGGTCGAGGAAGGACGCTTCGCTGGAGCTCTCATGGAGGAGGAAGAGCACTGAGGAGGTGCGGATGAAGAGGAACCAGGCCGTAGGAGCAGTTGGTCAGACTGCATTAATACCTGATTCCATAGGAGCTTCCTGAGACGATTTTCCGTTTTTTCGCGCCTGCTTGGTAAACGCCAAGCAATGACCACATTTGTCGGTCCTATGCCCCTCGCTGAGGCAGAGGAGGCATAGATCATGTGGATCAACTGGCGACATTTTAGATCCACATTCAATACATTTGCGGAATGCCGCCCGCTGCGCCATCGCGGAAAAATGAAGAAAAGAGGACAGTATAGAGGGTAAGATAATATTGTTTTTCCTTTTTTTGCTTTTTTATATATAGAGAGAAGAGAATTTAAGAAGAAAACGGACAGAATCGGGAAGAAGAACAAACTTGGAGCAAGAGGAGTTTAAGGTTTTTGAGAAAAAAACAACGAAGAGGCACAGATCTATAGCGAGAGACGAATAGGCACGAGGCACAGTGAACGGCGGTCGCAAAGACTGAGTAAAATGGCGGACACTCCGCTCTATTTATATCACGAAGGGGGAGGGGAGCGGAGTTTTCCCGCCAAAAACCGTTAGCTTTCTAATCTTCCGGCCTAGGCACTGCGCAGGCGCAGCAACCCATATGTGTGATGCACAGAGGCCATGACGAAGAATGCAGTTTCAATTTGTTGTGATTTAGAAAACCCTGATGAAAAAATCTGTTTCTTATTTTTAAGAACATGAAAACATTTGGGTGACATTTAATCAAAGCAATATAAAGGTCCTGTTTAGACATGAGTAAATACTATGGTTTCCTAACAGGAGAACTAGTTGCAGCAAGCTTTGGACTAAAGCACTCCCCTCTCCTCCATTTTCATGATAGTGAGAAGGCCACTAATATTTTTCAATAGTCCACAACAGTTGTTTAATTATCATTAGTGAGAGCAGTTCAGGATCTGAAACAATGGTTCAATCCTGCTTTGTTTCCATTAAACATAGTTTAACTTTAAACAAACCATAATTCTCTAGGTTTTACAATCACAGAAAACCGTGTTTGCTTAAAACTGAAAGGTTTTCATCTCCTCATGGGTGCAGAAGAAAGGAGGAAGGAGTGCACAAGCACAAGGTTTGCATGTTTGTTTTGTCTTGTTCTTATAATAGGTCTCCTAAGCCAGAGCAATTCAAATGAAAATAAAATGGGTTGTCGGGCAGATTAACGCTGTAAATAAATAAGTGAATTGAACGGAATAGAACGGAACAGAGTCAATACAAATCCCCTAGATCACGGCAATACTTACGGTGATTACCTTTTCTCAGGATCCTTGATGTAAGTGTCTATTAATAAACTGTACATCTCGGAGTGAACATTTTCTATTAGTATCTGGAAGCCATAGAAACAGCGAGCCTCTGGGACCTGCACTTCTTGACTAAAACGCTGTACCTGCCAATGAAAAAAGCCAGAGATAATTCACATGTATCCTTCCCTCAGTGAGTCAAAGCTAAATATGCCATTGCCATCTCTGAAAAACACACAATAATTACCAGGTAACAGGAAAGCTCTGCCAAGAGACACAGATTGGCAATGGCGATGTCACATATGCTAGTCATTGCCTGATGCTGCAGTCATCAAGGGGCCACCGTTCAGTGGTAGCGTGCAGAAGGTGTCCAGCAATCCCAGATATCTCTAGGACGGGCTGGGAAGGCACCTGCCTGAATCCCTGGAGAGCTGATACCACTTGGTGTCAACAACACTGGGCTAGGTGCCTGTCTTGGTATAAAGCAGCCTCCTAGAGCCCTTGAGTGAATTCATCCTTAAGAACCCTGAAGAGTTATCTTGCTTGTGAAAGACCTTACTGGAATGGCAAACAGCTTTAGGATCCATGCCAAATGAAACAGTGCTTTAGCATCATCAAAACATCTGTTTGCACACCCAAAAAACTGATATCCTATAGAATAACAGTGAAATTAATTTCCCAAATGCTGCTCCTCCTTATGTAGTCAAAGTGGCACCATCCAGAAACAAACTAGGTGAAAGCCCACAGTTTGCAAAGTATAAAAATACCTTCAGGAAAGGACTTTCCATAAAAAGAAACTGCTGTAGCCAAGGAAAGTGCAAGAGGGAGTTACATTCTTAATGTCTACAACACCAGGAAATATTACTTATAAGTCTCAGGAACGCCTTTTCCTTCCACTTTCTTTAGAAATATAAGATGGTGATGAGCACTGACTGCTGTTTCTTTGAATGAGCTGTGAATAATTTGAAAAGGACTCTCCAAGTTGGGTTTGTTCCTCCCAACCCCCTTTTATGAATCTTACCGACTTTTCTGCTCTGGCATGTTTTCTCTATTGGAAGTGGACTTTGAAATTTGAATGTCAGTTGCTGAACTTAAGCACTCCCCAGCCCCTTTTGAAAAAGCAGATAAGATATGCAGCAAAGGCTCAGGAGAGACAGTGGAAGATGTATCTCACCAGGTTTTCATTCACAATTCCATCGCTAGCTGCAAAAAAAGCCAGGATATGTGAAATAAAGTATTTTTCTTCTGGTTTCAGCTTGTGCCAATGAGGAAGATCCTTTGATAAGTCAACCTTGGTGAAGAAGAAAAAAAACTATACTTTGCAACTGCATATTGTAACAGTTCATTATTTCTGTACGACAAAGGAAACTATGGAAGGAAATTAACAATTCTTATAGTTTACAATAGCGTCTCTCAAACATTCACCCTCCAGATTATGTAGGACAGCAACCCATCATCCCCAAACATTTAGCTCTAGAATGTTCTGAAGTGGGGAGGAGTGTGGGTTGTGTGACTTCTCAGATGACCACCTGAAGAACCATGGAGAAAAGTAAGCAGTCTGTCCTCCTCCTTTGTGGTCTCTGTGATCCTCACATATAATTATAAAGCCGTAAGACTTACCAGAAGAGGGAGATGTCACAGCTGCCGAAGGTAGCATCAGCACAAGCTCCTACATCTAAGCATTAGACTGGTGAACCCAGATGGCTGCATTACAAAGTTACCATACAGGCAATCCTTTGAGAAAAGCAGCAGCAAAAGCCATGGCTCTGATCAAATGTGTCTTCACTTGAACAGGGACTGACAGACATACAAATTGGTAAGCAAGGTGTATGGCTGAGTCTACCAATTTGGCAACATGTTGTGAGGATATGAACTGGCCCTCTTTGAGATCACTCTGGCAGTCACAAGGATGAGTAAATGTTCTAAAAGTTGACATTGCAGAGGCAGAACTTTAGTGCCCTGTGGATGTCCAACAAATAAAGCTTCACTTTGATAGAAGTGAATAAGGAAGCAAGGAAGACCTTTGTCTTGGCTTAAATGTAATTGAGAGACAACATCTGGATGAATGGGCAGAAACAACAGTGACTACTAAAAGTACTTTCATGGTGAAAAGTCGAAAGTCAGCTGTGGCTACTGGCTCAAATGGATTGGCCATTAATTGAATTAGTACCACATACAGGTTCCCACAATGAACTGGGGGAGCCATTGGTGGAAAAAACTCAGTGAAGTCTTTATCAAAATGTTCTGTTTAGGGATGAGGGAACCAAGGAACATTCAATATTGGCATGGTTCACTACAATTGCTGCCAGTTATAATGCAATGGAAAAGTGGGCAAAGCCAAGCCTTTGGGTTTCTGTGAGAACAGGAAGTCCTGTATAGTAAAATACTATGAGGTTGGGCCATGTTGAGTTGATGTTAAGAACACCTCTATCTTTTTCTACTTGAAAACGTAAGAGGCTTAAGTGGAAGGCTTGGATGAGGCTGTCAAAACTAGTTGCAACTAGTGCCCAGTTGCAAGGGAGAGGCAATGGGCTCTGGAACCACAGGAGATGCATCCATAATAACTACCACTGTTGGTCAGGGGTGTGGAAGTCAAATCCTCACAGAAGATGCAATTGTTCACAAATTCAGGGAAAACCTGACTGAGCTCAGGAGTGAGAGGTGAAGAGTTCTGAAGTCTCCTCCTAGATCAAAAGTTTACAGGAACCATTGTAAAGGTCCTGTATAGAGGTGGGCTAGAGGGGTGACTGCCTCAGTCAAGGCCATTAGTCCTAGGAGGCATTGGGTTGTGGCTACCCAACAGTGGGGAGTGGTGGAAAGGTCCTTTGCAATGAAGCAGAAGATATCCATTCCATCCTTCAGAAGATATGCTTGGGCTCAAGCTGAATCTAGTAATGCCCAATAAGCTGTTAGGGTCAAAATGGACAGAGGTAACATTTTCCCTTGATGTCCTGAAGGCCAAGAACAGTTCCTGGGGAGTTATTGGCAGGAAGGGACAATGAAAAGTCGGTCACTGAAGCAGGGTAAAACTATGATCCCTTTTAGCCTCATGCGTACTACAACTACCACTATGTATTTTGTAAAAATTCTCAGAGCTGCAGCAAGGCAGAGGACCATAAACTGAAACAGTTTTTGCCTAACGCTGCAATTTGACACAGTGGACAAAAAGGAGCTGAGAGGCAAGTGGGAGTTATGCCCAGAGGATGTGCAGAGGAGGTACATGGGACTCCCATCTAAAGCTCTGTTTAGTTCCAGAACATTCTGAATGACTGTTTTGCACAGGTGCATAATGGTGGCATTAGAATCAGAGATTGAGAAGAAACCTGGCTTGCAGGAAGCCCCTGTTCACACTTCTACAGCTTCATCCAAAGATGCCTACAAGGATAGGGCAGGTAGTTGTCACACAGACAGGGAAAGACAAAGCATATAATGTCTTCAGGTGTCAAGTAACAAGGCTGTAGCAAAGCTAGGAGCAGCAAGAGGCTGTGACACAGTGGTAAAATACAAGCTTTGCAAGCTGAAGGTTCCATCCACAGCACCTCCAGATAGGACTGGGAAAGACTCCTGCACAAAGCCCTGGAGGGCCACTGCGAGTCAGCTAGGTGGACCACTGGTCTGATGCAATATACAGCTGCTTCCTATGTTCCTAATGAAGCAGCCTTTTAAAATAGTTTTTAAAAGCCTTCAAAATGGCTTCAGGTAAATACAGTTTTAAAACAGACATGTTAAAAATTACATTTTAAAACCCCACATTCTCACAAGTCCCTCAGTCTCTTCCAGTTCTCTGTTTAAGAAACCACTACATGAAATAAGATATTAGAGAAGTTTAGGAGATGGGTGATCTTAATTCACAGCAAAAATCAGGCAGGACTGCCTTGAGAGTGTCCAAAGGTATTTGCCATGGTGCAGCGCAGTCAGGCCCATAATTGAGCATGTGGCATCAGTAGCTACTCCACGGCTGATGAACTTCTGGTTGTCCACTGAACCTATTACTAGGATTGTGCATGCTGAGAATCTGCCATGGAAGGCTAACTCAATTATTTAGCATAGAGTTTGTTTGCATGGCCATAGGCCTTTTAGGGAGTGTGGTAAAATCTTTTTCAAGGCATCCAGCTACTTGAGAAACTCGATTCTCATTTTCTCCAAAGGAGTGAAGTTCCTAATCATTCAGGCTAAGAACCCAAGCTTGTAAATTGAGAAATCTCAGAAGCTACAGGTGGGCTGAGTAAGATATCCAGCAGTCATGGTGATTCTTCGTACTACTTTGGCCCTTCTTCACAATTCCTTTTTAGTGTATTGTTTCTCTCCACTGCTGTTAGGATTTTATCGGATGGCATGTAATGGTTCCTTAATAATGTTTATGGATATTTGATTAGATGCCACTTTGGGGGCTTTTGCTGAAAAATAGCTCATAAATAAATAGCAGAGACAAATTAATTCTGCACATGGGTTACACAGGCTAGTAGGGCTTGTAGGGAATTTGCTTCCAGAAAACAGACTGACATGCTTAGTCATGTTTAGGCTTCAGTCCTATGTGCATTAGCCTGAGAGTAAGCACCACTGAACTCAGTGGAACTTATTTCTGAGTAGACATATATAAGATTGTACTGTTGGAACAGATTAGATGCCAATTACAAAACAAAACAGCACGATGGGGAGAATCTTACTCATGGGAGTAATCTGTTCACATGAGCAGTGTAAAGTCAAAGACACTAACTCATGAAAGAACAAGTCTTCTATGAATAAGGAAACTTTTTTTCTTATTTACAGAACCACGTAATTGGGGTTGTTTATTTGCTTGCTAGTTTGCTAAGTTGATCACTGACTTCTTATGGTGTTCCTGCAAGCATTCATTTTCAGGAACCTAATTCAGGGAGGAAAGGTTCTCCAGGGTCCAATACTACACAACTTTAGACAGAAAAAAAACATAGCCAGGATTGCGCCATTACCAATAGTTGTTGTTGGTAATAGTTGAGGATTAAGAATCTATTGCAAATCACCCAAAGGTGATTCCCAATCTACTCTACCCCAACCTACATTCTGCCAAACTCACCCTCCAACACTATGGCCCCAAATGTTTCAGGAATCTTGGAAGCATGGCTGTGAATTTGTCTTAATATGGCCTGCAGGTTACTCACCTCTTCCACTGTCCAGAAGGAAGCTTGTGCCTGCTTGTACATTTTCCATATCTCAGGATACTGAATTGGGAAGATGACAAATCGATGAGGGTTCTTTCGTAAAAGAGGCTCCTCATTCGATTTTAAACCATTTTCAATACCATCTGAGGATAACCTCTAAAGTAAAAGCACAAAGTCATAAAATGCACTGGTTTTCTATGTCTCTTCACCCCCTCTTTTGCTCTAGGGTTTGGATGTTTCTTGGCAAGATCTATAAATCTAAACTATTCATCCTCCCTCGATCCAAAAATGAACCCCCACCTTCATGCAAGTTTGTACAGAGTTCAAATATGCAGTCATTGCACCTGCCCAAAGAGCACTGCTCTGGGCGCTCTTCCCAGTGCGCACGCAGCACCAAAAACACCTGTGCAAGTTCCCCGAGTCTGATGTGCAACCGTTTAGCTTGAGGTTTCCTGAATGACACTGGCGTACGGGTTTGAGTTGGTTGGTTGGTTTGGGTTGCGGGGGCGGACCCGATCCTGCTCTAAGTGCGCGCCGGGCAACAGGCCTCATTCCCAAGGCAGGGCGCGCGGGCACAAGGTGGGCTTCTGCGGGCCGCCTGACCCTGAGCGCGCCCACCGGGTGCAGGCGCCACGTCGCTCAGTGCTGCTTCCTCCCGCGCACTGCAGCTCTCCTCAGAGCGGCACTTCGCTCCAGCGCCCTCCTCCTCCTCACCGGCACCACCAGCCCCCCTTGGCGGAAGGACAGAGATGGCGCCGCGCTCGCTCACCTCGTCACTCTCCGGCCTGGCGGCCCCGCACGACGCTGGGCGTTCCCGGCGCTCGCCCATGGCCACGGCAGGCAGGCAGGAGGCAGGGGAGGAACTCGATCCCCCGCTCCAGCCCCGACGCCAGGGAAGCGACGGAGGAAGCAGGCAGCAGCTCCCGTGACCGCCGGAGAGGCCTGCTACCGGGGCTCCTCCTCCGGGGGGCGGGACCGTCGGCGGCTGCGAGGAAAGGTCAGCGTGAGCACCGGTATTGTAGCCGAAGCGATGAAGGATCTTGGAGCATCTGAAAGACGTCGAAGCATGTGTGCAAATTAATAAGGCACCGGAGATGATGCACACTCAGCCCCAGAGAGGCGTAGCGTATGGCACTGATACGTCTGATATGATGCATATGCATCGGAATTGATCGGTATGCTGATATGTTTGGTATCAGATTAGTATGTTTGATATGAGCATAGAATCATAGATTTGGAAGGGGTCTAGAAGGCTCGAACCTCCTGCTCAGTGCAGGACTCCACGTTAAAGCATCCCTCTCAGATGGCTGTCCAGCTGCCTCTAGTTGCAGGAGCCCATGACCTCCCTAGGTCATTGGTTTCATTACTGCACTGCTCTAATTGTCAGGAAGTTCTTCCTGATCTTCTGCTGGAATCTGGCTTCTTATAACTCGAGCTTTGACTTGGGAGTCAATGACTCACTGTCTACCTGAGGTGGATCAGCTGATTTTGGGCTAATAAGTAACAAAGACTGCCTTGCTGGACCAAATCAAAGGCTACGGGATAGCTGTACTTGGTATGGTATTATGTAATGAAAGCCACTGTGGTTATACTGGGTGACATGTTGAATTAAAACTAAGGAGATCCAGATTCTAGTCCCCATTTGGCCATGAAACTCACTGGGTGATTTCGGATGACCCAATGACTCCCACCCTAACCTACCTAACAGGATTGTTTTGAGGAAAACTAGGAGGAAGACCATGTTTAAAAAACCTTGTGTTCTTTGCCAGGGGAAAAAGGGCAGGAAATTATTGATGATGGTGGTGATGGTGATGAAATGCCACGATTGAGGAAGACAGAATCATACAACAGTAATGCTGGAAGGGGCCAAGAAGGCCAACGGGTCCAAGCCCCTGCTCAGTACAGGACTCCAAATTAAAGTAACCCTAACAGATGGCTGTTCAGCTGCATTTTGTAGATAGTTGAATAGTTTGATAGCCAGCCAGGATTTTTTTCTCCACTCCTGAAGAGCAAGATGTGGGTTATTTACTCCTACCTCTTTTAAGAACCACTTCACATATTCAGAACCACTGAGGAATGCATAAATAATGTCTTGTGTGAAAGTACTCACACAAGCAGGCTACTGTTAAAGAAGTTTATCATAGAAGATGCAACTTCATCCAAACGCAGCATGGTTGAGCAGGATAGCTAAGAAGTGAGCACTCAAATTAACTGTGTGAGGATGGATGGCACTCTGCTGAGGCTTGTGTGTGGGGGACATAGATCCCACAACTTCATGAATGCCAGAGTGTGAAATGATGTGGCCGTGACTTCATATCTGAACTTGCTCAATATTGTTTACCTTGAGTCTTGAAACAGAGTCTTTAATTCCCAGATGTTCATTATTTCAATTAACATACTTCATTTGAACGTATCAGTTGCCTTCAACTTGGTTGCTTTTTGCCAAATTGCAGAAGACATGCAACAGGGTATCTCCTGAAGAAGACATGAAGGAACATGTGGGAGAAAGCATGAGATTTTACTATTATACCAGTAACTGTTGGAACATGGGTTTATAGCTATAAATATTAGGTCATGGAATAAGAACATGTTATCAGACTGCTCCATTTACCACTATATGCCTTAGGAAACCCACTTTAATTAGACAATCAGCATTTTAGTATGGCAGGCCTTTGTATGGGGAACTTGTGCCTTTGGAATCCACTCCCTCCTTGCCTAAAAGAAGTACCTATTCTTGTTTAATACTGAGTGAGGGGTAGGGGTCAAAGCCACTGATGGGTGTACTTAGACCATGGTTTGAGGAGCACATGATGCAGTCATCTTGCCAGTCTGATGGCAAGACTGAACAAGTCAGTCTGATCAGTAATCAATGCCCAGAAAGCCTATGTATGCCACCTTTAGGTCTATGATGGAAAAAAGGTGAGATTCAAATACTGGTTTTGCCTATTCCCACTTTTTTAAAAAATAAAAAGAATATAACTAACTTGACTTAATATTGTTGCATTTTTTTAAAGACCTGGAAAAACCCAACAGGGAGCAAAAGAAAAAAAAAGTATGGTTTTTATCCTCTTCAATGATAGAGTTGTCCATTCTGTCAATAAAAAATCTAGAACAGACAAGCATAGCAGTAAGAGGCTAGATCACCCCAACTTACATTACCCATGACAAAGCAGCACCTGTGTTCCAAGAGCCTGACAGAGTGTATTTCCAACAAAATAATGCCATGCAGCCCTGGAAGGAAAGGATGGGCCTTCCATAATGAGATGACCTGAAGGTTCTTCTATAATGATATATAATGAGTGGGGGAGTTTGCATGTGGGCATGAACTGGAAAAATTTCTAGTGCGATTAAGCATGCTTTGATCCATGAATACAAGATTCTTAGTTAACTATTCCATGGGGTAATTGCAAGGGTTCAGGGGTTTCTCTTGCCAAAGTGAGAAAATGCTTTATTTTCACCCATACCTCCATCCCACCCCTAAACCCTGGCATTTGCTTTAGAATCAGGAAGAATTATTTTACAGATCTGGTAACTAAAATGAAGGAGCTGAAGCAAGTAAATAAATAAGGAAACTTGAGATATACTGATCAGTCAAGCATCTGTCAGCGTTGTTCACTCATCAATGAAATCAGACTTTTAAAAGAGTGTATTTTTTCCACATACATAAGCACTAATTCACACTTGTACTAATGCACATTAACACAAATGCAAATTGGCCCAAATTCCCCAAAGTGTCTTTTTTAAAGCCTACATGATTAAGACAGTTTGCAAAAGAATCTGCAAGTCAGATTCATAAAAATTCTAACATTTGAATCTGTTGCTTTTGCTGCTATCCCTAGATCAAACTATTGGATATATGTGATACACAGGCTACCTTCTGTGACTTGAAAATTGTGGTTCATCCAGAATGAAGTTGCTAGCTAGACTGCTGGCTAGTACGGGCAGCATGGAATGGGTTTTTCCAACCAGTAAACATCTTCACTATCTTTTGTTCCATTTCCAAGTATAATGCAAAATGATTCCCAGGTTTAGGATAGGAATATTGAAAGGGGCAGCCAGTTATGCAAAAACAGGCTGGAATTGTGTGTTCCATCTTCAAGGGCTTTTCTCCAGGTGCTCCCACATTAAGGTTAAGGGTTAATTTTCAGATCTAGAACACCCTCCCCTAATGAATTTGGCTGACCCCCAACTCATCAATGCCAGATAATTACCTTTTCAAAAAGTCTTTACCCTAGCCTTTACATATGATTTTAACCAGCTTTTAAGGAATAATCCATTAGTAGGCTGCTTTAAATTATCACATTTTAGGTTATTAGAATGACACTTTTTATATAATTATTTTTTATTTATTATATTTCTATCTCACCTTTTTTCCTTTCAAGGAACTCAGGGCAGCTTACACAATTCTCCTCTGCCTCTCAATCTTATCCTCACAACAACCCTGTGAGGTAGGTTGGGCTGAGAGTCTATGACTGGCCCAAAGTCACCCAGTGAACTTTCTGGTGAGGTAGGGACTGGAATCCAGATCTCCTCAGTTCCACAATCTTAACCACTACACCACACCGGCTCTCAAATGTATTGTTTTCAGTTACACTGGAAATAAATTTTCAGTTATCCCAGTTGCATTTCATCATTCTCTGCTTTGCTCAAACAGTTTTATTGTTGAAGTGATGCCACGGCAAGAGTAGTATGAGGTACTGTCATTTCTACCACATTCCCAACAGAGTAAAAGAAATCTGAATGATATTATCCCTGTAGAGTCCATGACAGACAGAAAAAGGATATGCAAGGTGTCAGTAAATATTTATTCCTTGTGAGTGCTAGCAAGTAAGAATAAATATGCCCTTTTAATTGTTCACAATTACAAGAGTTTCACAAATTCTTAACTGGTTTAAATTGCCTTTCGTAAAACTAGAAGCTTAGATCATACGTCTGCTCAAAAGACTAAGGTCCAATTTAACATTTGCTGCACTTTTCATCTCAGTGGGGAAAACAGCAAAAAGCAGGCAATATGAGCTGAAACATTATGAATGCACAGTAATAAAATGTTGTACCCAAACAGGCTGTGATGTCTGATAATCTTTCACAATTGTTTGCATAGGCCTCATAGTGGATGACTGTCTACTACCCACTGATCCCCAGATACAATCTCAAGCTATAAGACGAAGGATCCATGGATCAAAGAATCAAAAGAGCCTTGTCACCACTGCTAAATCTTCACAGCTGGTGAGTCAAAGCAAATCATGCATCTTAACTTTATCAACCTATCCACCTCAGTTACTTCTGAGGAACAGACTGGCTACATAAAATCCAGATCCATCTTCCAAGTCTAGAAAGCCTCAGAACGAGTTTTAGAGCAGCAATGTGTCAGCAAGTGTGATCATTTTAAGAAACCAGCTCCATACATCTTGTTTCAAGAGTTAGGCAAAGTTAAACATGCTATTAAAGCTTTCTAATTATCTTTCTTCTTTCCCTTTTTTACACTCTACTACATAGTTAAAGAAACTAACTTAAGTCACACAGTAATGCGGTGTACAATTTTAATAAACATTTCTTATTAAAAGCTTGATACTGTTCAAATATACAGAGAAAAGCTATTTATATAGCTACATATACAACTTGAGTCAATGACTACAGCATAAATCATTCTAGCTTTCCCCCTCAGTCTGAGCATCAGCAACGTGGTATGTGTGCGCGCGCACGTGCATGCGCGAGTTAATGTTAAGCTACTTGTTAGAGCTTGTTAACGGTAGTTTATCCCACTGTGACTGTTGTAAAACAACTATGTTATATACAGAACTATACATATAACATATGGATATGCTATATATACACAGGTTATATATAACAATACTATACAATATACACAGCCTTTCATAAGAGGATTCTGGAGAAGATTAACCTTATTAAGCCTCAACACCTCTGTGAGGT